CAACAACTGGTGGAAAGCACTTAGGCGCCACGTTAGAAGCAACCTCTCCCCGCCCCTGACACGCCCCACGCCTGCTGCATAAGCGAATATAGTAAGGGGCCACGCGGCAATACCAGTTTACGGCGACTTGGCCAGAGAAAGAGGTAAGACGACCCAAGTCGCTACGTTTGCGTCACTCTAGAATGGTGCCCCCTCCCTCTTTAAATTTTTTTGTTGCCGAGGACCGAACATTCCGAGATAGGCCATGCATGCGACTCCCTTTAGGGCTCTCCTTGAAAATTTGGTGTATGTTGAGCCGCACCTTAGTAGAAGATGAGATGTTGAGAAGCATTATTTTACCTCCCCAATTTTATTTCCTGAAAGCAAACTCTATTTGAGAGGAATCTGGTCGGCTCAGGCTATTACGTTTCCCTTTTGTCTGTTTAACTTCCCATTTTATTTTTCATCCATTCCCTCAATCTTTTTTTGTACTTCATCTCGTGCCATCGTTTCATATTAAAGAAAAGTGAGCTGAATTGACCCTCAAACTGAATTTTTAGGGAAATGGCTGCTGAGGTGCGACGGGACTCGTTCAAGACGTTCTGGGACAAGTACTCAGACAAGCCAGACAGCAACTCGATGATGCTTAATCACACTGCGCATGATCTCGAAGCCAGCGACAGGTTCCTTAAATACTTCTCATCTCAACTTTGTCCTTTCAAAATCCGTGGGAACGCCAAGGGGCTTCCCCAAGAAAACGGCAAGGGCTTCCTCTACCTCCTACAGTATTGTTCGCTGTGGATGACGGGGCGTGTCGGTAAGCTTCAGTTCGGCGCGCCGGCGGCCGTTCTTTACCTTTTATTGAGACCGTTAAGCAGCAACAGAAGTCGAAGAAAACCGATTGGTTGGACTGCATGATGCATCTTGCTGCTTGCCGAAAGAAAAAAAGAAGGAAGGGGCCGAGCCGCGTCAAACCCGCCAAACCCATCCTGGGCGTGCGGTTGCGATGCGTTTTTTAATGGGAATGCCCACACGTTCAATTGGCGCAGGACAAGGATCGGTAAAAGGATAAAAACTTTTCAAGGTGCATTACTTCAACTTCACAAGAGGTGTTAAATCAACTTTACTGGCCAACGACTAGGCGGGATCGCTTACTTCAGGTTCTGAAAGGTTCAGACCAATTCTTCATGACCAGAACTAGCGTCTCCACCACCCTAATGAAGTTCGAGATGAATGCAGGTCATCACATATAGTGCAGTTCGCTGCGGACGGTTGGGCGTGTCAGTGCGGCTGCGTTTGGCGCGGTGCCAAACTCGTTCTCCACCAGTTGTTGAAGCGGGCAAGTGACAATACTGTATCATATCCTTCGTATTACTCGTTTTCTACCACTTTTTGTCGCATGCGCGCTTCAACAAGAAGGCAGAGAACGGCTTTGACATCGTGACACACTCGTACTGCCTGACAACCGTCCGCAACGAATTAGAGTGCAATACTAGAAGGGGCCACTTACTGTAACTCTTTACAGTCCTCGAGACCATATTCATGTCTGCAGTAGTAACACTTCAGACTTTTCCTTACTCAGGAGCACTCGTGTATGGGAGCACTCCATATTCTCCGGATTCCCTCGAGAAATCTCGGATATAGAACGGCACCCAGAAAATGAACCGGAAGAGAAGAGTCACAGCAATAGAAGCTGAGACTTCTTACTGAATGGCTTTCCATGAGTGCTTCTCGATGAGTAACAATGTGCGCGTCCCTACTGCCGTCTTGAGGGTGGCCTTGAGTATCGGGCTATGTCACGGTGAGTGTCCATGGCTATGTGTGACCTGCACACCTGTGACTGATCTCGAACTTCAGTGAGGTTGTAGAGACGTTTGGTTTAGTAGTCACGAATAGCTACGACTCTTTATTCTCTGAAGAAGGCGATCTCGTCAAAACGACGGCCAATGAAGTTGGTATCAACCTGGTGTGAACTTGAAGCAAAACATCCTGCAACTGGCACAGTGCCGTATTTTGTGGAGAGTCGAAAGGCGATAAAAAAAGGGATAAAAATCTTTTCTTTCATTAAAACATCCGACGAGCATTTT